CCATGATGATCACTTTGAGGAGAGATGAATTTAGTGGCAAGATCCCATTTAAGTTTTTTAATGTTTGGGTTGATCATGAGGATTTATTATCGATGGTTGAGGGAGTTTGGTAGACACAATTACATTCAGACACCATGAAAGATGTCTGGTACAAGTTGAAGGCTCTTAGGTTAGTATTGAAGCAACATAATAACACGGAGTTCAGAGAAGTAACAACTAAGATAGTACATCTCAGATACAGGATGCAGGATACTCAAGAGCAACTGAACAGGGGCTACTCTGATGCATTAGCATTAGAAGAGAAAAGGTTACTTGAAGATCTGGAAAGATGATCATTAATAGAGGAAAGCACCAGCATAAATCTAGAGCTAAGTGGATAAAATTTGGTGATTCTAACACCAAATATTTCTCAGTTTTCATGAAGGAAAGAAGTCACAGAAAAGTTATTGCAGAACTAAATAATGTCTTTGGAGATAGAATCATTAAACAAAAGCAGATCAAATAAGAAATAATTGCTTTCTACAAATCCCTGATGAGATAAAGATCAGCTCACTTGCCTGCAGTGAACAAAGAGATAATGAAACTGGGACATGTCCTCACACACTCCCAGCGTGTGAGCCTTTGTGTTGTGGTCACTGACCATGAAATATTTAAAGCTCTATGTGCAATTGGAGATGACAAAGCACCAAGTGTTGATGGCTATAATGCATTATCTTTCAAAAGAACTTGGACACTTATCATACCTGAAGTGTGCCATGCAGTGAAGGAATTATTTCATTCAATTAATCCATCACTCTAATTCCTAAGGTTCCTCATCCTACAAGTATCAAGGAATATAGACCTATAGCTTGTTGCACTGCTGTACAAATTAATTGCCAAGATTATTGCAAACATGTTGCAAAAAATTATTGCTTTAGTTGTGTCAAACACCCAAGTTTGCTTCATTCCTGGCAGGAAAGTAGCAGATGATGTCCTACTGTCCCATGAGTTAGTCAAGGCTTACTAAAGGAAGAATATTTCTCCAAGATGCCTCGTTAAAGTGGACATTCAGGAAACCTATGATACAGTTGACTGGAGGTACTTGCATCAAGTTTTGGAAGTCCTGGGGCTTCCAATTCAATTTACTAATTGGATCCTACAGTGTGTGTCAACGGTGAATTATACTATTCTCATAAATGGGGAGACTACTAAGCCATTTGATGCAGCTAGAGGGCTTAGGCAAGGAGATCCTATATCTCCATTTCTCTTTGCCATAGCAATGGAATATCTGAGTAGGAACCTAAAGACACTTAAGCATGAGAAGACTTTCCATTATCATCCTATGTGTTCTAGATTGGACCTAACTCATTTGAGCTTTGCTGATGACCTTCTCCTCTTAAAAAGAGGAGATGCTACTTCTGTTGTCCTATTGCACCAAAAGTTCAAAACCTTTTTAGAAGCCTCTAGGCTTATAGAAAATCTAGCGAAAAGCTCAGTATATTATGGAGGATTTAGCAATAAACTGAAGCATGAGATTCAACAAGCCCTAGGGTACATGCAAGGAGTTCTGCCTTTAAAAAATCAGGGCATACCTCTTGATACTAAGAAGCTGTCAATATTGCAATGACAACCTAAAAAAAACAAAATTGTGAGCAGAATTTCCTCACGGACGGTAAAGAAATTGTCTTATGCAGGCAGAATACAGCTAGTTCAAGCAGTAATCTTTTGCATTCAAGCTTAATGGGAGCAAATCTTCATTATACCTACTAAAGTCATCAAAGCAATTGAAGCACACTATAGAAGCTATCCATTGTCTGGGTGAATACAATAACCAAAAAGTCTTTGCTGGCATGGGATAGGACGTGTTCTCCAAGAGCTGCTGGAGGACTGAACATGGTTAACTTGGCCATGTGGAATAAAGTTGCTATCACTAAGACCTGCTAGGAATTGGCTAACAAGAAAGACAAGTTATGGATCAGATGGATCCATAGCACTATATCAAAGAACATGAGTTCATGCATATGGGAGTACCAAAGCAAGCCTGTTGAATGGTTCGAAAGGTGTTTGATGCAAGGGATAGGCTACACCTTATTAGCAATTTGTCACAAGGCACAGTTATAAAATAATTGTACCTGCAACTACTAAGTGTACTTCCAAAAGTTCCATGGAAAGGATTGCTGTATCAAAACCAAGCAACACCAAAAGTCATCTTCACCATGTGACTTCAGGTGCGAGGAAGAATGTTAACAGCTGATAGGTTGAAGAAAAGGAGAATGCAGGTAGATGACATTTGTTGTTTTTGCCATCAAAAACCAGAGACGTGAGATCATTTGTTTGTTGAATGCAGATATGGTAAATGACTATGGCACGGGCTCATGCACTGGCTGCAAATTCAGTATCCTTCTATAGACTCATGGGCAGCAAATCACCAATGGATAGTTATGAAAACTAAGGCAGATCTCAAATGGCAAGAGTACTTAAGCTAGTCTATGCAGAGTCTATGTAGAGTATATTCATGCACTGGGGATTGAGAGAAATTCACGGATCTTTGAGAAGCAAACTACTACATGGGAGGTCCTAGCTGGGAGAGTGGCTTGCATGTGCAACTTCAGAGCTGAAAGCTAGAATTACAAATATTAGTCAAACAGGTAGAGACTAGAATGTGTATAACGAGGCAAAATATTTAGATTGTTTTTTAGTTGTGATACTTTCTTTTATCTTGTAGAGCAGACTGAGATGGTCTACGTACTTAGATTTGTAAATGTTACATTGATAGTTAATACAAAAAGTTTAATTACCAAAAAAAATAATTATATTTATGTGATTTCTCTAGTTGTTGTTTTTTCATGACTTGTTTAACACTAATGAGGTGGATGTTTGCAATTTCAGTCACAAAAATAGAGGGTGATAATTTACAAGCAAGATTGATGGATAAGAAAAATAGGTAATGACTGATGACTAAGAGGGTGTTTGGCTAAGCTTATAAGCTGTTCAAACTAGCTTATAAGCACTTTTCGGCTTATCTACGCGTTTGGTAAAGTTAAAAGTGCTTATAAGTCAAAAATAAGCCAAAAGTCATAAGTTGGTCACCCCCAGCTTAAGATTTTTTAGCTTATAAGAACTTTAAGTTTGACTAAGATTTTTACTATTTTATCCTTCAAAAATTTATTTTTAGAACAAAACTCCTACATCGATACTCACTGCCTCAAGTATTCAATCTAAACCCCACCTCCCCTCCCTCCCCCCCCCCCCCGTTTTCAAGTATGCAATTCTCATTGACTATTTAAGATAAGCAAATTCTCTATTCCTTTGCATTCTTATATCTATGTGATTGTGTATTAATCTTTGAACTTTATGTAATAAATGAGGACATATCAAATTTTTGGTGTATTGCTTTCTGAGTGTTGTGGTGATGAAGCCAATATTTGTTTCTCTTCAAATAATTTTTCCTATTTAGGTTTAATTTTTACTGAGAAACTTTTATCAATTTATTACTCCCTCTGTTCCAGTTTATGTGAACCTATTTCCTTTTTGGTCCGTTCCAAAAAGAATGAACCCTTTCTAAATTTGGAAACAATTTAGCTTAAACTTACAATTCTACCCTCAATGAGAAGCTTTTATAACCACACAAATACTCTGTGCCCCTTTTTAACTTGTTTAGGACCACAAATTCCAAAAGTCTTCATTTTTTCTTAAACTCCGTGCCCAGTCAAATAGGTTCACATAAATTGAAACAGAGGGAGTAATTATTATAACTTATGATTATGTGCTTATCATAAAATAAATTATATTTATCATAAAAATTATCTTATCTAAGCACAATTGTATTTAAAATAAAATGAAAAATATAATATTTTGTATTTGAATCGATCTGGAATCTAAAATTTTGAAGAAATTACGCCCTTATTAGTGTAAACAGTTCTAAGGTTATTTAAATCATTTTAACAGAAAAAGAGCTTATCAGCACTTTTTTATCAATACTGCAACAACTTATTATCAATTTCAGCACTTGTACCCGAACACGTAACTGCTTATTTATTTATTAAATCAGTTTCAACACTTAAAAGTGCTTTTTAACACCTAATGCTTATCGGCTACTTAATATCAGCTAATCCAAACGGGCTCTAATAAGGGTCTCTTAAGAAAAAACATGCAGAGAACGAGAAGCATTTATAAGCTTCCTAAACCATAAACAGTGTGTTCATAGCAATTCTCTAAAAAAAACTCTAACACAACAAATGCCCAGACCATCAAAATAACTCTTCATGAGGTTATTTATTTAATATATTTTTTCTCGTTGTCTGCCATTTTTTTTCCACCAAGAAATAGAAGTTGTCAACCCTTTGATTTTTCCTCTTCTATCTCTAGGGGTATTTTGAGAGAAGGGAGGAGAAGATAATAGTAATGAGAAAGGACTTTAGGAGAGGGGTACATACAATGCTTAGCTTTTCCCTTGAGTTAAGAAGAGAAGAAAATGCAAAGAGTGCGAGTACAGATGGGTTGTTATAAATTGTGTGAAGAAGGAGTTTTTGGTGCGATTTTTTGTTAGGTGAAAGTAGGTGATGCCACCAAGAAGAAATGGGAGGAAGAGGAACTTTTCGCATAAAAAAATGTATTTTTACCGAATATTTACACCGAATTATTAATAAATGTAAGATATTACATTCTAACAAGAATCCGTTATATTTACGGATAATCTAACTTTAAACTACGCATTTTATCTTAAATGACATGGTTTTATAGTCACACAAATGTTATGGCATGTTTATAATTACAACTTTACAAATTAGATATAAAAGACATTCTTTCTTTTTTAAATTTTGTATCCAGTCAAACATCTTTAGATAAAATGGAAAAGAAGAAAATTTTATGTGTTCTTACTTTACTTTATGACTTGTTTTAAGTTACATAATTTTGTTTAGTGACCATTGCAAACGGAAATGCATTATGTGCTTTCTTGAAGGTGATCTAGTTTCTTCTGGATCAAATCTGCTTGGGATTCTTTTTTTTTTTTTTTTTGAGCAAACAAGAAATATTTATATTAATACTTAAGGAGGATGAAATACATTGTTTCCAAACATAGTGTCTCTAAGGACACTTTCATTACCTAGGCTTGAATCTGCTTGGGATTCAAATGTTCCCAAACAAATTAAAGCCTAAGAAATGGCTACATTGTAACATAAGTACCGTTGGTAACAGTAACCACTTCATCAGACATAAGCCCAAAGAAAATAAAAAACGTGAAGAGTACAAGAGTAATTTGAAAGGGATTAAGAAATTATACAACACTCTAAATGTAAATTAAAGTAACCCTTCACAGCAAAAAAAAAAAAAAAAAAAGGAAAAATAGCACAATACTCTAGCAAAATCGTTTTTTTACCCATCAACTGGAATTCAAAACCCGTTAACCCAATTAATCCAGATTTGCGTTTAGGCTCACTAATAGGGTAAAGACACTGTCTATCGAGAAGTTCTCAATTCCCGAGGCTCGAATCGAAGACATAATTAAGGGTAGAGGAATCCCAACCATCCTACCGCTAGCAAAAATCATTGGTCACGTTAGGTGCCGGAGGAATCTCAAAATGCCAAAGCCTTCCTACACTATTCACCAAATTTTTTCTACACAAAAATAGCTCTGCATAAACTTTCTCAACATTACGATCCACATCATGCAAAAATATATGTGTAACCCCAGATCCTTTCCTATTCCTTGCCATAACAGCAGCAGAATAAATAGCTGACATTCTTCCGGGTGCTTTATCAAAATAACCTTTAGGACCATCAATCATAATCATGTCCCATTCTTTATCGTACACTTCATTAGATAACATGTCCAATGCCAATTTACATTTACGGTTACCTCGTAAGAATGATTTCTTAGCTGAACAATCTGGTTCCTTATGGTAGTGTTCGATTAATTTCTCTGCCTCCGACAACTTTGTCCGATAATTCACGGTGTTGGTACGTAGGAATGGCGCGTCTTTTATTACGGCCCTGACCCATTTCGGATCTTCCTCTAGGAATAGCGTGGTGCCACGTGGATTTATAGACGCCCACATAAACGAGTCATGGCCTAGCCCGAATACCAGGAAATTACACGGGGTTAGAGATTTGAGAACGTCGAAGGATACCTTGATCTCGTCCAACGTCTGTTGTGGTATCACTCGTGACGTGGCGTAATGTATGACGGCATCGACTTTGAGTTGTTGGGACATTATATCATCATCCTTTGTTGAGTTCGTGTCCGGGAGGATCCCCGGACCCACTAGTACCGGTGCTCTGCAGAGGATAGAATTATTTGACATTCGAAATAAAATGGAAATAAGTAGTGCGGTGCACACTAAACTTACGATTGCTAATTTCAACATGTTCTTGGGATAAGTAGGAACAAGATGGATTTTGGAAAAAATGGATATGCTGAGGAGAATTGTCTCTCCTCTCTCTCTCTCTCTTTATTGGGTGCTTAGTGAAATGTTGAACATAGAGGAAGGTGAAAAGATTTAGGTTTGACACCAATTTTGGGAGACTTCATCTCATATTATGTTTGGGAGACTTGCAAACAGCCCTTTTAATATATGCTTTATGTTGATTGCCTTCGATTGGAGGTAGAAATAAACCAAGTTGTTTCCTCATTGAATAGCTAGTGAATTACACCATGTAAAATATCCCATATCTAATGTTGGTGTTATTATAGAGCAAGTTTTGAGGAGCGCCTTTCAAGCCGCCCAAGTGTCCGTCTTCTCTGATAAATAGTTACTAATTTATGATATTGGATTTCAGATAATTAACTTGGAAATATATGTGAAAACTATTTCTGTGAGGAGAGATTGAAGGATCAACAATCTATTTCATTATTACAGATATTTATTTTTTTCTTCTTTCGGTATAACTATCTGGTATTCAATATTTACTGTTCCGATTAATTCAGATCCACATCGCATAATGCCCAACAAAGTAGAAAGCGCTTTCTACCGGAGATAATCTCTCATGGCTCAACTCTGAGAACCCCTTGATGGTTGCGAACAATTATTTTAACTATTTAAATTATATACATGAAGTTTTAAGTCTAATTTCTTTTTACCATATGTTTGTCCTTAAAATGAGTATCAATTAAATCTGTACGCGGTTTAAAGGATACGTGATTTAATTTAACATGAATGATATAAGAGCATCAAATAATTGAATTAAAGGAAAACAACGCGATCCAACCAAATGTGATGAAACAACTAAGCCTAGTGTTAGATTTCAATGCTTGAAACCAGTTCCGACCGAGCCCTCGAGATGAGCTCGGTTACAACTAAGAATGAACAGTCGATGTACAGTTTGAACAATATCTAGAAGACAAAAGTAAACTTTATTGCTTTGATATGCGTGCCAACAGTGGTGAAAAAATGAAAAGGTTCTCCCTTTATATAATAGAGGAGTTTCAACACTAGTGCAAGTCTAAATAAGGGGAAAATCCCTTTCTCTTAGCAAAACACGATTTGCAGTTGATATCGGGCGTGATCCGCACTATAATATCCGGTTGATGGCGGATATTTCGGCTCCTCATCCGTCGTCTCTAACCGTCTTCCCCTGGTCCTCAATTCCAAGTTTTGCTTGAGCTCGATTCTCCCTGTGCTTGGCCATGCCCGATTCTTAACGTTTCATTTGTTCCCTCGGGTTTCGATTTGTAGGCACCCTCGGCTTTACCCGAGGCATTGTCGAATCGTGTTGTCTCCCGCTTCTTCATCGGGATATCATGCTTAACATTATCCCCGATTTTACCGGTATATAGATAGTCTCCTCACTTCTCGGAGAGTAGATTTAGGAACAACGAGAAGTGAATCATTGCCCCAGGCTCCTTCCTTCATACGTCATAAGCAAGTTGACGATCTGAAACGTCTCATCAGTCACGTCGCTCTGACTTCGCATACGTGTCAGCAGTCGGTTGACCATCCTCAGTAGTTATTGAATGCAAAACGTCACGCATTCATTATTTCTTTCCTATAAAAGCTCTGGTCTTCCTTTTTCAATTTTTTACTTTCCGATTTCGATTCTTCTTGAGTTACCCTCGAATTTTCTATTTGCTCATCAATCTTTCAAATCTTCATAAATTGTTCTCCACATCTTCATATCTTCATCTCTGTCACGGTCCGGATTTCATACCCCGGAAAGTCGTGATAGCGCCTACTAGTGAAAGCTAGGCAAGCCAATCAACTGAATTATTTGCCTTGTTTTCATTTTTAAATTTGTTAACAATTTAGAACCAACAATCTATAAAAAAACATAATTTAATCAAGCGGAAGATTAAATTTCAGGTTTAATGATACTTCTAACACCATTCCATAACAAAACTACCCAAGATTAGTGTCACAACTTCACAGACTGTCTAAGAGTACTACAAATAAAGGTCTGAAAGAAATAACAAAACACTATCTCTGGGACTACATTAAAGAAACAGGAAAATAGATAGAGGGAGACGCCAAGGCCTGCGGACGCTTGCAGGACTACCTCGGGTCGCCTGATAAACAAGAAGCTGAAACCTCACTGCGGTCCAAAATCTGCAACACTGGGATCTGCACAAAAGAGTGCAGAGTGTAGTATCAGCACAACCGACCCCATGTACTGGTAAGTGTCTAGCCTAACCTCGGTGAAGTAGTGATGAGGCTAGGACCAGACTACCAAATAAACCTGTGCAGATAAATAATGTACAGCGGAAAATAAAAATAGGAATATACAGTCAAGGATGGGAGGGGGAAACATGCTGCGGGAAAATATCAAATGACAACAGGAGGATAGCAGGTAAATATGGGGAACACCACAACTCAACTGTCAACAAGAGCCAGAAATCAAACAAGTGTACGGCATCACCCTTCGTGCTTTTACTCTCATCCTCACCATAAAAATCAATATAAGTTGCATGGCATCACCCTTCGTGCTTTTACTCTCATCCTCACCATAAGAATCAATATAATCGGCAAGGAATGGTACATCGTGCGGCACAGCACCACCCTTCGTGCTTTACACTCTTCCTCACAAAATAATGATAATAATACACGGCATCACCCTTCGTGCTTTAACACTCTCTCACAAAATAATGCACAGCATCACCCTTCGTGCTTTACACTCTTCCTCACCCAAACAACAAACACAAACAATAAAGGCAAGGAATAAATGAATCACAATAAAATCCCGGCAAGGGAACAATATCAAAACCACAACATCCCGGCAAGGGATCAACATTTAAAAGCCACAACGTCCCGGCAAGGGATCAATACCATAATCCTCTCCTCATTTTCGCATTTACCTCACAACTTGGTTCACAATTTGAGCCAATGCTCTATAAAGTTCAATTACCAATTATACTTTCACAAATCACTTTACAACTTGAGCCAACGCTCTTCAATATACAAACACCAATATTCTTTCCACAAACCTTGCTCGACAATAGCAATCACCACATTAAACATGAACAATACAAACGGAGTCACATTAATCACAACATAAGACTCACGGGCATGATTGACACCAACGTATAGATACTCGTCACCATGCCTATACGCCGTACTCAACAAAGAACACATAGCATATAAGACCAAACTCCTATTCCCTCAAACTAAGGTTAGATCAAACACTTACCTCGATGTCTCGAACACAGTTCAAGCCTCAACTATAGCTTTACCTCTTGATTCCACCACCAATTCGCTCGTATCTAGCCACAAGTTACTTAATTATATCAATAAATGCTAAATAAATCAATTCTAATGCATGGAAATAAGTTTTCTAAAGTTTTTCCCAAAATGTCAAAAAATTGACCCCGGGCTCACATGGTCAAAACCCGAGGTTCGAACCAAAACCCGACTACCCATTCACTTACGAACTCAAATATATAATTTGTTTTGAAATCGGACCTCAAATCGAGGTCCAAATCCTCAAAATTTGAAAAACCTAGGTTCTAACCAAAACACATATATTTTCCCCATGAAAATCATTGATTTGGAGTTAAAATCATGTGAAGAGATGTTACAGATTGAAGAAAACTAGTTAGAAATGACTTACAATTGATTTGGAGAAGAAGTTGCCTTTGAAAAATCGCCCTAGAGTGTTTATGTTTTGAGAAGATATGAAAAATTGCTGAAAATGCGTCTAAGTGTGGATTTACAGGTCTCTGATGTCGCAATTGCGATCAGGGTTCGCAATTGCGAACCCAGACTCTGCTATGCTCGCATTTGCGAAGTGACTTTCGCATTTGCGAAGTCGCTTTTGCGATAAATCTGTCGCATTTGCGACACTGGGGAAATTCAGGCCACTTCGCAAATGTGATGGCTCTTTCGCATTTGCGATGACAGTTTCGCATTTGCGACCCCAAGGCATACCAAGTCTCTTCGCATTTGTGATATTCCTCGCATTTGCGAGGTCGCATTTGCGATCCAGGCTTCGCAAATGCGAAGCCTGCAGACCTGCAACATACCAGCAAACTCCTAAGTCCAATTTCTCTCCGTGGCCTATCCAAAACTCACCTAAGCCCTCAGGGCTCCAAACCAAACATGCAGGCAAGTCCAAAAACATCATACGGACTCGCTCGTGCATTCAAATCACCAAAATAAAATCAACAACTATGAATTTAGCATCAAAATCATGAATTCACTCGAGAACATCAAATTTTTCTAATTTTCTCAAATAAGGTCTGATTCACGTCATTTCAAGTCCGTTTCTTACCAAACTTCACAGACTCAACTTAAATCACATATAAGACCTGTACCGGGCTCCGGAACCAAGATACGGGTCCGATACTATCAAATTTATTTTTCAGAAAATAATTTTATTTAAAAATTCATTTCTCGGGCTAGGGACCTCGAAATTCGATTCCGGGCATACGCCCAAGTCCCGTATTTTCTTACGGACCTCCCGGGATTGTCGAAACACGGATCCGGGTCCGTTTAGTCAGAATGTTGACAGAAGTCTACTTAAATTTATTTTAAAGGCAAAAATTCATTATTTTTCACAGATTCTCATATAATGGCTTTCCGGCTACGCGCCCGGACTGCACATGCAAATCGAGGTGAGGTAAAAAGGAGGTTTTTAGGCCTCGAAACACTGAATTTGTTTCTAACACAAGTGATGACTTTTTGGGTCATCACATCCTCCACCTCTAAAACAACCGTTCGTCCTCGAACGGACATAAGAAGGAAGTACCTGAGTCGGGGAAAAGATGGGGATAACGGCTCCACATATCGGACATGAACTCCCAGGTCAATGCCTCAGTAGGCTGAACTCTCCACTAAACACAATCAGAAGGAAAACTCTTTGATCTCAACTAACGAAGCTGCCAGTCTAGAATAGCTACCGGCTCCTCCTCATAGGACAAATCCTTGTCCAACTGGACAGTACTGAAGTCTAACACGTGGGATGGATCGCCGTGATACTTCCGAAGCATTGACACGTGAAACACTAGGTGCACGGCTGATAAGCTCGGCGGCAACGCAAGTCTGTAAGCCACCTCCCCACTCGATCGAGAATCTCAAACGGGCCAATGAACCTAGGGCTAAGCTTGCCCTTCTTTCCAAATCTCATCACGCCCTTCATAGGCGACACCCGAAGTAATACCCGCTCACCGACCATGAATGCTAAATCACGAACCTTACGGTCGGCATAACTCTTTTGCTTGGACTGAGCTGTACGAAGCCTATCCTGAATGATCCTGACCTTGTCCAAGGCATCATGTACTAGATCTGTACCCAACAACCGAGCCTCTCCCGGCTCAAACCATCCAACCGGAGACCGACACCGCCTACCATATAGAGCCTCATAAGGAGCCATCTGAATACTCGACTGGTAGCTGTTG